ATGTACCTGTTGGCCAGATGTACCTGTTGGCCAGATGAATCTGTTGGCCAGATGTACCTGTTGGCCAGATGTACCTGTCCCTGTTACCTGTTGGCCAGATGTACCTGTTGGCCAGATGAATCTGTTGGCCAGATGTACCTGTTGGCCAGGTGTACCTGTCCCTGTTACCTGTTGGCCAGATGTACCTGTTGGCCAGATGTACCTGTTACCTGTTGGCCAGATGTACCTGTTGGCCAGATGTACCTGTTACCTGTTGGCCAGATGAATCTGTTGGCCAGATGAATCTGTTGGCCAGATGTACCTGTTGGCCAGATGTACCTGTTGGCCAGATGTACCTGTTGGCCAGATGTACCTGTTGGACAGATGTACCTGTTGGCCAGATGTACCTGTTACCTGTTGGCCAGATCTACCTGTTGGCCAGTTGTACCTGTTGGCCAGATGTACCTGTTGGCCAGATGTACCTGTTGGCCAGTTGTACCTGATGGCCAGATGTACTTGTTGGCCAGATGTACCTGTTGGCCAGTTGTACCTGTCGGCCAGATGTACCTGTTGGCCAGATGTACCTGTTGGCCAGATGTACCTGTTACCTGTTGGCCAGATGTACCTGTTGGCCAGTTGTACCTGTTGGCCAGATGTACCTGTTGGCCAGATGTACCTGTTGGCCAGTTGTACCTGTTGGCCAGATGTACCTGTTGGCCAGTTGTACCTGTTGGCCAGATGTACCTGTTGGCCAGTTGTACCTGTTGGCCAGATGTACCTGTTGGCCAGATGTACCTGTTGGCCAGATGTACCTGTTGGCCAGATGTACCTGTTGGCCAGATGTACCTGTTGGCCAGATGTACCTGTTACCTGTTGGCCATATGTACCTGTCCCTGTTACCTGTTGGCCAGATGTACCTGTTGGCCAGATGAATCTGTTGGCCAGATGTACCTGTTGGCCAGATGTACCTGTCGGCCAGTTGTACCTGTTGGCCAGATGTACCTGTTGGCCAGATGTACCTGTTGGCCAGATGAATCTGTTGGCCAGATGTCCCTCTACCTGTTGGCCAGATGTACCTGTTGGCCAGATGTACCTGTTGGCCAGATGTACCTGTTGGCCAGATGTACCTGTTACCTGTTGGCCAGATGTACCTGTTACCTGTTGGCCAGATGTACCTGTTGGCCAGATGTACCTGTTGGCCAGATGTACCTGTTGGCCAGTTGTACCTGATGGCCAGATGTACTTGTTGGCCAGATGTACCTGTTGGCCAGTTGTACCTGTCGGCCAGATGTACCTGTTGGCCAGATGTACCTGTTGGCCAGATGTACCTGTTACCTGTTGGCCAGATGTACCTGTTGGCCAGTTGTACCTGTTGGCCAGATGTACCTGTTGGCCAGATGTACCTGTTGGCCAGTTGTACCTGTTGGCCAGATGTACCTGTTGGCCAGTTGTACCTGTTGGCCAGATGTACCTGTTGGCCAGTTGTACCTGTTGGCCAGATGTACCTGTTGGCCAGATGTACCTGTTGGCCAGATGTACCTGTTGGCCAGATGTACCTGTTACCTGTTGGCCATATGTACCTGTCCCTGTTACCTGTTGGCCAGATGTACCTGTTGGCCAGATGTACCTGTTGGCCAGATGTACCTGTTACCTGTTGGCCATATGTACCTGTCCCTGTTACCTGTTGGCCAGATGTACCTGTTGGCCAGATGTACCTGTTGGCCAGATGTACCTGTTACCTGTTGGCCAGATGTACCTGTTGGCCAGATGTACCTGTTGGCCAGATGTACCTGTTACCTGTTGGCCAGATGTACCTGTTGGCCAGATGTACCTGTTGGCCAGATGTACCTGTTGGCCAGATGTACCTGTTACCTGTTGGCCAGATGTACCTGTCCCTGTTACCTGTTGGCCAGATGTACCTGTTGGCCAGATGTACCTGTTGGCCAGATGTACCTGTTGGCCAGATGAATCTGTTGGCCAGATGTACCTGTCCCTGTTACCTGTTGGCCAGATGTACCTGTTGGCCAGATGAATCTGTTGGCCAGAAGTACCTGTTGGCCAGATGTACCTGTTACCTGTTGGCCAGATGTACCTGTTGGCCAGATGAATCTGTTGGCCAGATGTACCTGTTGGCCAGATGTACCTGTTGGCCAGATGTAAATATTGGCCAGATGTACCTGTTGGCCAGATGTACCTGTTACCTGTTGGCCAGATGTACCTGTTACCTGTTGGCCAGATGTACCTGTTACCTGTTGGCCAGATGTACCTGTTGGCCAGATGTAACTGTTGGCCAGATGTACCTGTCCCTGTTACCTGTTGGCCAGATGTACCTGTTACCTGTTGGCCAGATGTACCTGTTACCTGTTGGCCAGATGTACCTGTTGGCCAGATGTACCTGTTACCTGTTGGCCAGATGTACCTGTTGGCCAGATGTACCTGTTGGCCAGATGAATCTGTTGGCCAGATGTACCTGTTGGCCAGATTTACCTGTTACCTGTTGGCCAGAAGTACCTGTTGGCCAGATGTACCTGTTACCTGTTGGCCAGATGTACCTGTTGGCCAGAGGTACCTGTTACCTGTTGGCCAGATGTACCTGTTGGCCAGATGTACCTGTTGGCCAGATGTACCTGTCCCTGTTACCTGTTGGCCAGATGTACCTGTTGGCCAGATGTACCTGTTGGCCAGATGAATCTGTTGGCCAGATGTACCTGTTGGCCAGATGTACCTGTCCCTGTTACCTGTTGGCCAGATGTACCTGTTGGCCAGATGAATCTGTTGGCCAGATGTACCTGTTGGCCAGATGTACCTGTCCCTGTTACCTGTTGGCCAGATGTACCTGTTGGCCAGATGTACCTGTTGGCCAGATGAATCTGTTGGCCAGATGTACCTGTGGGCCAGATGTACCTGTCCCTGTTACCTGTTGGCCAGATGTACCTGTTGGCCAGATGTACCTGTTGGCCAGATGTACCTGTTACCTGTTGGCCAGATGTACCTGTTGGCCAGATGTACCTGTTGGCCAGATGAATCTGTTGGCCAGATGTACCTGTTGGCCAGATGTACCTGTTGGCCAGATGTACCTGTTACCTGTTGGCCAGATGTACCTGTCCCTGTTACCCAGATGTACCTGTTGGCCAGATGTACCTGTTGGCCAGATGTACCTGTTGGCCAGATGTACCTGTTGGCCAGATGAATCTGTTGGCCAGATGTACCTGTTCCTGTTACCTGTTGGCCAGATGTACCTGTTGGCCAGATGTACCTGTTGGCCAGATGAATCTGTTGGCCAGATGTACCTGTTGGCCAGATGTACCTGTCCCTGTTACCTGTTGGCCAGATGTACCTGTTGGCCAGATGAATCTGTTGGCCAGATGTACCTGTTGGCCAGGTGTACCTGTCCCTGTTACCTGTTGGCCAGATGTACCTGTTGGCCAGATGTACCTGTTACCTGTTGGCCAGATGTACCTGTTGGCCAGATGTACCTGTTACCTGTTGGCCAGATGAATCTGTTGGCCAGATGAATCTGTTGGCCAGATGTACCTGTTGGCCAGATGTACCTGTTGGCCAGATGTACCTGTTGGCCAGATGTACCTGTTGGACAGATGTACCTGTTGGCCAGATGTACCTGTTACCTGTTGGCCAGATCTACCTGTTGGCCAGTTGTACCTGTTGGCCAGATGTACCTGTTGGCCAGATGTACCTGTTGGCCAGTTGTACCTGATGGCCAGATGTACTTGTTGGCCAGATGTACCTGTTGGCCAGTTGTACCTGTCGGCCAGATGTACCTGTTGGCCAGATGTACCTGTTGGCCAGATGTACCTGTTACCTGTTGGCCAGATGTACCTGTTGGCCAGTTGTACCTGTTGGCCAGATGTACCTGTTGGCCAGATGTACCTGTTGGCCAGTTGTACCTGTTGGCCAGATGTACCTGTTGGCCAGTTGTACCTGTTGGCCAGATGTACCTGTTGGCCAGTTGTACCTGTTGGCCAGATGTACCTGTTGGCCAGATGTACCTGTTGGCCAGATGTACCTGTTGGCCAGATGTACCTGTTGGCCAGATGTACCTGTTGGCCAGATGTACCTGTTACCTGTTGGCCATATGTACCTGTCCCTGTTACCTGTTGGCCAGATGTACCTGTTGGCCAGATGAATCTGTTGGCCAGATGTACCTGTTGGCCAGATGTACCTGTCGGCCAGTTGTACCTGTTGGCCAGATGTACCTGTTGGCCAGATGTACCTGTTGGCCAGATGAATCTGTTGGCCAGATGTCCCTCTACCTGTTGGCCAGATGTACCTGTTGGCCAGATGTACCTGTTGGCCAGATGTACCTGTTGGCCAGATGTACCTGTTACCTGTTGGCCAGATGTACCTGTTACCTGTTGGCCAGATGTACCTGTTGGCCAGATGTACCTGTTGGCCAGATGTACCTGTTGGCCAGATGTACCTGTTGGCCAGATGTACCTGTTGGCCAGATGTACCTGTTACCTGTTGGCCAGATGTACCTGTTGGCCAGATGTACCTGTTGGCCAGATGTACCTGTTGGCCAGATGTACCTGTTGGCCAGATGTACCTGTTGGCCAGATATACCTGTTACCTGTTGGCCAGATGTACCTGTTGGCCAGATGTACCTGTTGGCCAGATGTACCTGTTGGCCAGATGTACCTGTTGGCCAGATGTACCTGTTACCTGTTGGCCAGATGTACCTGTTGGCCAGATGTACCTGTTGGCCAGATGTACCTGTTGGCCAGATGTACCTGTTGGCCAGATGTACCTGTTACCTGTTGGCCAGATGTACCTGTTGGCCAGATGTACCTGTTACCTGTTGGCCAGATGTACATGTTGGCCAGATGTACCTGTTGGCCAGATGTACCTGTTGGCCAGATGTACCTGTTACCTGTTGGCCAGATGTACCTGTTGGCCAGATGTACCTGTTGGCCAGATGTACCTGTCGGCCAGATGTACCTGTTGGCCAGCAAACTATTCAGTTCCTTCATTTAAAAAAAAAAGCATTTTATAATTCTGTAATCAGTGTAATCAAAAAGGTTTATTATGATGTTAGTTCAATTATAGGCACAAGATCTACACAGTTGAAAAATATTTTAAACGAAAGAAGCAAAACATAAATGTCTTTAGAAAATAAAAAATTGTATGCTGTTTCTAAGGATTTTTAAAAAAAATGACTTATTTACAAAGTGAAATCAGATTTCACCTAACAGTGCATTTGAGGCTGACATAGTAAGATTTACTAACACAGCATTTGAGGCTGACATAGTAAGATTTACTAACACAGCATTTCAGGCTGATATGGTAAGATTTACTAACACAGCATTTGAGGCTGATATGGTAAGATTGAGGATTAAAAAGGGGGGGAAAATGCTATAAATCTTGTCACCACTTATCAGACTGGTTCAACCAAATGTATTTAAATGTTATGTAAGCTATAAACAATAAGCTGAAATACATTTGAAAGATGACCAAGATTTATATGTTTATTGTGATTACATCATCAAAACTTGAAACCATAAATCCATAATGTAGCTTTACTATATGAATCCTTCTCTAAAGGATATTCCTACACATATTCATGTCACTAGCAGATGTTGGTAAACAATGGCCTAGTGTGCCATTTCTATAGGATCAAAACAACAGTTTACACAATATATTCACAATTAAAATTTGACAAAGACTTTCATCTACTTGGTGATGTTAAAGTGAATTATTTAGTGGTTGCAAATTCCAAACTAATTATTTCTTTTTTTTCAGTAAAACATCTTTTAACTGGTCAGTAAGCCAATCAACACCTTCATGCAGGCCATCACCATTCAATGCATTGCTAGCACATATATGCCAAGGTTTGTCTCGAATTGTTTCCAGTCCCATCAGATGAGAGCACTTGACACTTGACACTGAATCTCTAGCATCCATTTTGTTTGCAAAAAAAAGAATTGGAATTCTTCTATTTTTAAGCTCAGGATTCTGAAGAAGAAGGTCAAGCTCATCTTTAGCAACCACCATGCGTAATTTATCACTGCTGTCTATGACGAAGATGATACCATCACATTCTTTATAGTATTGTTCCCAAAGGTTACGATAGCGACCCTGGCCTGACATATCAAAAGCTGTAAAAGCTAAAGACTTGGACCTAAATCTTTCTACATTAAAACCAACAGTAGGAACAATGTCATGATTTTTTGCTTCAGGTGGTTTAAAGTGATTTATGATGGTTGTTTTACCACTGTTGTCTAACCCAACTACCATTACATTGACCTCCTTCTTTTTGACCCCCAACCATTGTGCCAAGGCATCAAAAAATCCCATTGTTTCAAGTAGCTAAATGAGTTCCCAGATCTGCAGTTCTCTGTGAGTTCTTGAGTCAACTCTCATATATGGGCCGGAATTTACCAGCTTAGCAAGTAGAAATTGAAGTCATATTCTGAAGAAAAGAAGAGAAAAAAGCTTTCATAATTAAATCAACAACAATTATTCTCATCAACGTTGTAATGGCTATTATCACACAAAGATTGTAAGTGTACAAAGTTTAATAATGTAAACAAGAATTTCCTGAAACTTCAACATTGGCTAATAAAATAACTACAAAATAAACAAGGAATAATGTCTGAATAATTTATTTCATGACAGTAAAATATCCAGCATTATAACTCAAACTATCTATCATAATAGCACGGATGTGTAAATCAATTTTTTGCATGATAACAATACTTGATATATATATATATATATATATATATATATATATATATATATATATATATATATATATATATATATATATATATATATATATATATATATAAATAAATGAAAGTGTGTGGGTTTATTTGTCTTTATGCATTACTACACCTTTCATCTGACCGCCATGAAACTTTGGGAAGTTATTGAGAATACGAGAATACTCCTGGGGATGTTTCTGCAGGCAAAACAATTTCAATTTCACAGGGTGCGATGCGATTGATCTCTATACACAGTGTATAAAAAATAAAAGTCGGATGCGGTTTGACACCATGAATCAGAGTGCCATGAAAATTTGAGAAGTTAATGAGAAAACACCCAGATTGACAATTCTTCTTACGGGCGGGAACCGGGAGGGTGTGATTTTTTTCAATACACCGTTTGGCGTCCAGAGTGGCTATCTTAGCACTTGGTATCCGTTAATCGGACGTCCTGCATAGCGGGTAAGGGGTACTACTATATTCAGCGATAAAACTGCATCAGATGCAGCCACCAGCGCCGTGGCAATTGCGTAACCCGAGGTGCCCCGAACTCCCCCCACCCATGAGCACAAGGAACCTACTCTTATTTTTTAAAAAGGCTTAAAAAAAGACATGATGGGCAACAATAATCGTTAACTATATTGAATCAGGTGCATTCTCCAGCACCCCGTGTTCACACATGAGCACTATGCCACTTAAATATGCTTTAAAAAGAGTGCGATGGACTATGGATAAAATGTGTTGCTATAGTCGCTCACTAAATCATATCAGGCACATCCTCTGGCATCCCATTCAAAACACTTAATTTTGGGGAATTAAAACTAGTGTTTTTAATAAACCCAGAATTTGAAAATTCATACAAAATTAGTTTGAAGATATGCACTTAAAATTTTTAGCCGAGCACACCAAAATATGGTAGAAGATTATGAATTCATTGTTTAGTGGGCTTAAAATATAATATTGTATGAATGGTGGAAAACCTACGAAGGAGTTTTCAAGATGGCAGCCATTGTCATAGTTACCACGATTTTTCCTTCAATTTTTACTTTCTTGTATACGAAGCATAGAGATAGTATTGTAATCATGCAAAAAAAAAAAATCGAGAACATTTTACACCTCCCTGAGTCAGAAAAAAATAGTTTTGCAATCTTGTCTGTGTGTGTGTGTTTATGTGTGTGTGTGTGTGTGTGTGTCTGTAAACACAATAACATGAGTACCGTTACAGATAGGTTGATGAAATTTCATATATAAGTATTATATCAAATTTGTAGATCTGTGTCAACTTTTGAGCGATTTCTTCAGATAACCGGAAGTGGAACTTTTTCTACTTTCAATTTTTCAAAAGCATATAACTTGAGTGCTATTTTAGATAGATAAATGAAATTTCAAATGTAAGTAAAAGATCTAATTCTCTGTCTTCTATCAAATTTTGAGTCATTTCCGTTGACCGGAAGTAGTAATTTATGCTATTTCCGATTTCTCAAAAATTGCATATGAATTTATAAAGTACTACTAATATTAGTATTATTATATACTATTTTGCTTGGCGTTTGCTTGGTGTGCAATTATTTTTTCAATGAGATTCTATTCTATTTTTAAAAGTTTAAGTAATTAAAAATCATGTCTATATCTCGAGTTGCTATCCCCATAGTGTTATATAAGAATATTCGAGAAAGTTTAGGGGAGATAACTCCCGGTTTATTTTTATGGAAACGCATATGCGGATGTACCTTAAAAAAGCTGTAAAGAAATAATTGTTTTCTAACGAGTATTAAAAGTCATTTTTACCGGCGCCTACCCCCTTAAACACAAAGATGAAATTAAGTTGTCCCTAGACCTTTGGGTAGAATTTAATGAAAAATTTAGGAAGGAAAAGAAGCAGCTATATTAGAACTGCAAAATAGGATTAACCAGATACTTCAGGGAAAGGAGATTATATATCTGGGCATTTATGTCCAAGCTGAAAATTGGTGAAAAAAATAAATCTTGGAAACATTGCCAAGTTTTAAAAACTCTGCAGTGTAGCAGATTCCTTTGAAGGTAAAAATTAATGAAATTTTAAAGAGAAGATTACTGAGTATCTCAAATCAATTGCAAACAAACTCCAGAAGAATAAGAAAAAGAACCCCAGCATGACTTTCCTGAGCTGGGAGAACAATCCATGGAGTAGCCAGCATCACAAAAGAATTCTTGAATTTGCAGAATGATTCATAAACATGAAACTTGTTTAGTTAAAAAATTGCTCACATTGCATATACGTTTTGAGTTTTAGTTCCATTTGTGTCCATATTTCTCTATGAGTATGGAATTTCAACTCTTGTTTTCGAATAAAAGAAATAGATAAATTAGATTTTGAGGATGGCCTGAATGCCTACAGAGAGAAAAATTCTCAGTCAATGCATCAAGCAGCATCCCTATATCATTGGTCAAAGTCAATGCATCAAGCAACATCCCTATAACATTGGTCAAAGTCAAGCAGCATCCCTATAACATTGGTCAAAGTCAATGCATCAAGCAACATCCCTATAACATTAGCCAAAGTCAATGCATCAAGCAGCATCCCTATAACATTAGCCAAAGTCAATGCATCAAGCAGCATCCCTATATCATTAGTCAAAGTCAATGCATCAAGCAACATCCCTATAACATTGGCCAAAGTCAAGCAACATCCCTATAACATTGGTCAAAGTCAATGCATCAAGCAGCATCCCTATAACATTAGCCAAAGTCAAGCAGCATCCCTATAACATTGGCCAAAGTCAATGCATCAAGCAACATCCCTATAACATTGGCCAAAGTCAATGCATCAAGCAGCATCCCTATAACATTAGCCAAAGTCAAGCAACATCCCTATATCATTAGTCAAAGTCAATGCATCAAGCAACATCCCTATAACATTGGTCAAAGTCAATGCATCAAGCAGCATCCCTATAACATTAGCCAAAGTCAAGCAGCATCCCTATAACATTGGCCAAAGTCAATGCATCAAGCAACATCCCTATAACATTGGCCAAAGTCAATGCATCAAGCAGCATCCCTATAACATTAGCCAAAGTCAAGCAGCATCCCTATATCATTAGTCAAAGTCAATGCATCAAGCAACATCCCTATAACATTGGCCAAAGTCAAGCAACATCCCTATAACATTGGACAAAGTCAATGCATCAAGCAGCATCCCTATAAAATTAGCCAAAGTCAAGCAGCATCCCTATATCATTGGTCAAAGTCAATGCATCAAGCAACATCCCTATAACATTGGTCAAAGTCAAGCAGCATCCCTATAACATTGGCCAAAGTCAATGCATCAAGCAACATCCCTATAACATTGGCCAAAGTCAATGCATCAAGCAGCATCCCTATAACATTGGCCAAAGTCAAGCAACATCCCTATAACATTGGCAAAAGTCAATGCATCAAACAGCATCCCTATAACATTGAGTCAATGCATCAAGCAACATCCCTATATCATTGACAAATGAAGCCCTAGAAAAATTTGAAGATTGCCAGCATTGTTGAAAAGCAAGGTGACACACAAGCAGAAATAAAACTAACGACAGAGGCAAGAGCAGCTTTTGACCAAATAAACATTGTTTAACGATTTATCTCTTGGAATAAAAATCTTTGTCTTCAATACAACAGTAAAGTTTGTTTTACTCTTTGGAACTGAGTCACGGAGAACAACTGCCACAATTAAGAAGAAAATACTTGTATAAACTTACCCTCAGAAAGATTTTTTGAATTTACTGCCCTTATAGCATCAGCAAAGATGTACAGTGGCAGTTGACAAATCAACTACCAGTTGTGCTTTGAGAAAGAGATCCTGTAGCAAACATGGAGATCGATTGGCCCCACACTCACGCACTGGCAGGCATAGGCCGGGGGGGGGGGGGGGGCGCCACAAAATGACTATGATTTTACTTTAAAACTTAATTTTTGATAATCTGGAACACAATAGGCCAAGGGAAAGTTGGTAATGAGCAATTTTTGTTATGTGCTCACTACTCTGATAATGACATAAGGAATGGAAGATTTCTTGCAGTTTTTAAGTAAAACTGATCTAACAGGCAAAGGACTTGCAAATGTTTTGATGGAGACTCTTGCAAATTTACACATAGATGGGAATTTTATGATTGGTCAAGGATATGATGGAGCCACAGCAATGAGTGGTCGACTTCATGGGGCGCAACAATATGTTGCTGAGAAATTTGTTTTGGCTATTCACGTGCATCTCACAGTCTAAATCTAGCACTTTCTGATGCCTAAGAACTACCAGCTGTGAGAAGCTGTATGGGAATTCTTAATAGCACATAAAACATTTTAACAAACCAAAACGACAATCTTTGCTAGCAAATTCAATAGAAAAATTGACATTTAAAACTTCAGCGACTTAAACAATGGCATGCAACAAGATGGGTTGAATGAGTCTGTCAACATTTTTGTAAAAACTTTTTTTTAAAACTGTGTCATCAATAAAGGCATTGAGAAATAGAAACTATAATGGCTCCACTTTATTACTGGTGGAAATGTACAGCAAAATTCCCAACAAGCGCTTTTAATGTGCAACGTAAAAATATTTCCAACAGTATATAAACTGCAGAAAATAATTGTAACACAGCATGTTGTCAGTGAATGCTCTTTTTCCACTCTGAGATGGCTAAAAATTTACTTGTGAAATTATACTTGCATGGATAGACTAAATGGTTTGGCATTATTAAATATTCATCAAGAATTACAGTTTTAGCGCATGAGATTCTTGATAAATTAGCAAAGAGACCAAGAAGACATGATTGCAGCTGAGTAAGTTTAAATGTACTTTTATCTGTTTGTTGTCTTATAGTATTTATATTGCGTTTTCTGAATATTTTTTTTAAAATGTTGTTCAATGATTGCATATTGTAAGACAATAGCTTGTATTAAAATAAAGGGTTTCTGTGTTGGTCTGAGGCGCCCTCAAATTTCTATTGACACCAGCCACCAATACTTTACACTCATGCACACAAACACGTGTGTACTCATATGTATATATATATATATATATATATATATATATATATATATATACATATATATACTAACTGCATACCCGTGCTCCGCTATGGTAAATCTTCTTTAAATGTACCAACTTGGGAATAGAACAAAACTAAAAACAAACACAACGCAAATACAAACACAACACAAACACAGAAGAAAACACAAACACAAAAGAAAACACAAACACAACGCAAATGCAAACAAACATAAAAAAAAAACACAAACGCAACACTTAAGAAAAACAAACACAAACACAAATGCAAACGTAAACACATAGTGCTCACAGTCTAGTCCGGGCACTAAATCGCACCCAGCCGGTGCGCCGGTGGAATCGCCTGATTTAACTTAGTAAACTACTATAATACCCCAACTTATCCATAAAATAAACAAAAGGCAATATTTAAAATATCAGGAAGACCTGGTGACATGATTTGGAAGGAGACACCTAGATTGGATATACCTCGGGACATTTGGAGAGAGATGTCTGGAAAGCTTCCATGAGGAGAGAAAGGCTAACCTAAACTTTAAATTTAGTGAGCATTGCTACTACAACTATTATTAAACTAATATAATAAAAATATAAAAAACATTAATAATTATTTTAAAAAATATTATACATTATTTGGTTTGACCTACTTTCAATTTGATTGTTTATATCAACCCTTGTTTCAAAAGCGCTTATGAGGGTTAAGAATAATAGTTTGATAGCAGTCAGCTAAATAAAGCAGCTAGATCAGCCAGTTTATAATGTATTCAGTTAATTAGAATCTATTTTCACATGCATATTATTTAATTACTTTCTTAATTTTCAAGAGAACAATGCATGTGAAAGTAGGTCGTAAATTGCGCGTGTTTCATGGTGAAGAAATTGAAGTGGGTGAACGCCTTGAGAACTAGATTTATATTAACAAGTAGTAATACCTCTTAGCCTCAATCCATGTAGAACAAAATTAAAATCAATTCTTGTGTGTAAACAAATGTTCATGTGATGATGACCATGAAATTATATGTTTTTAAAACATTGTGACCCCATTAAAAAATAGGCAAAAGGCTGATTTCACTTCATTTCACTGTACATGTGTGTTTACATATCAGTGCTACGCATGAACCGGTAAATGTTCATTGTTTGTTAGTCTTAGGCCTTAGACTGTTATGCCTATGCTACCATCTGTTAAGAATATGGTAGTATGGGATTAACTGATGCATAGACATATGATTATTCTGTCTCAAGTTTACAATAATTAGTTTGGAATTAACGGATGCATATACATATGATTATTCTGTCTCAAGTTTACAATAGTTAGTTTCAATTTTTAAATTAATTTTAAAAAAATAACCAAAGGTCTTGATGTAGACCTATATGTAATAATCCTATAGACAATAGTCAGAATCAATTTAAAATTTTGATTTGATATTATTAAATAGATTTTTTAAAAAGATTACAGATATGCCTTACTTAAAGCCTAGATCTGTACATATTATGTTAATAATAAGTAAAAATCTTACAGTTAATCTTTGAAAAACAAAACTGGACTTAGTAGATCTAGTCTTTAGCTTAATTTTTCAGAGTTTCTATGATTGCAACCCTTTCATAATAATTAGCCTATCTATTTGAAAAAAAATAAAAAACCAATATCACAAAGAAATAAACCGGGAGTGATCTCCCCTAAACTTTCTCGAATATTCTTATATAAAATAACGGGATGGGAACTCGGGCTATAGACATGATTTTTAATCCATTTTAAATACTTAAAGTTTTAAAAATAGAATAAAATCTCGTAGACAAATTAATTGCACACCAAGTGAACGCGAAATAAAAAAGCGCATAATAGTGCGCAATATTATTAGTACTTTTAAAATTTACATTAGTTTTTTGAGAAATCGGAAGTAGCGTAAATTACTACTTCCGGTCAACGGAAATTACTCAAAATTTAACAGAAGGTAGAGAATTAGATCTTTTACTTACATGTGAAATTTCATTTATCTATCTGAAATAGTACTCAAGTTATAAGCTTTTGAAAAATTCAAAGTAGAAAAAGTACCACTTCCGGTTATCGGAAATCGCTCAAAAGTTGGTACGGATCTACGATTTTGATAAAATACTTATATATGAAATTTCATCAACCTAGCAGTAACGGTACTCAAGTTATCGTGTTTACACACGGACACACAGACAGACACACACACACACAGACACACAGACATACGGACAAGATTGCAAAATTATGTTTTTCCGTATCAGTGAGGTGTAAAACGTCGAGATTTGTAAAAATCTCGATTTTTTTTTTTTGCACGATTACAATACTTTCTCTATACTACGTATATACGAGAAAGTAAAAAACTAACAAACAAATTTAATACAGTAATTTAAAAACAGGTAGGCCTACATTAATGAAATAAAACTTTTAAACATTTTTGTAACTTTCAAAACATAAATCCTCATAAAAATGTGAATTAATTACTAAAATTTAATGAGTCACCCTTTTTCAACATTACTAGCCTCAGCCAATTTTACGTACCTAAAACAATAGATTACCTAAAATGACTAAACAAATAATATAATAGTGCCTAATAATTATTTATTAGGGTTATTAATATTAATATTATTTTGATATTATTATGCATGGCCATGGGCTATGGGGTTGTCCATAAATTATTTATGTCACACTCCTAGGGGGGAGGGGGTCTGTAATTTTGTGACGGTGTGTGATGAGGGGGAGAGGGGGTTCAGATGGTGCGACGTAACACTTTTGCATTATAAAAAAGCAATGTTAGAAAACGAATTTTAGACGTCATTTCTCGTTTTGTGAAAACTGTTTTAATAAATTTTGTAATAGGAATTGATTAAAATTAAAATACTAAGACTTAGGCTAAGCCCTAAGCCTATATTTAACTAATAACTATATATTAATACTCAGAGTTCAGACAAGATTTTAGAAAAATATCGATGTTTTTATTATTTTTACTTTAAGAAGGTAGTAATATGTATTATTATGTATGCATACTTTATGATGGGTTATAAATTAGGTTTGCGGTTGATTTAATAATAAATAATTAGATATGCATTTAACATTTCACCAATTGATTAAAGTCTGATCATCATCCTTGGCGTCGTACGCAACCACCGTCACTTGGGGAAATATTTCCCAGGATTCTTCCACAATAAAGTTGGCTTAGAAATAATATTTATAACTTAAATATAAAAAGGTAATCAAGTTTGAAAATGTATTAACTGTTTGCATTTTAATAATTACATTGATTTTATTTATAGTTTAACATAGCTATATCTAAAGAGTGGGTTTTAGATTTTTTAAATCCCGATATTTTAAATCCAGTCCTTTTAAGTCAATTTATTTACCAAAATGGCGACCAAACAATTGATTTTGCTGTAAAATAATAATAATAATACTAAGTAAAATAGACATTAATAGATCTAGATCTAGATCTATTTATTATTATATTATAATATGCTTGGTATTTTAACATTAGGGTATGGAAATTTTTGTACATAATTTATTTTTGCAAAGTAGTTAGGCCTAACAGTAACTAAGTAACTAGAGATCTAGATTCTAGATTCTACTTCTAGAATTTAAAATTTAGATCTAAACTCGGTAATCGTTTTTTTTTGGGTACGTAAAATCGCCCGCGGCAATTAATGTACGAAAACGTAACCCTAACCCTAACCCAAGGCTTTAATAGAAGTATATTGTCATATGTTTGTGTCAAATATTATAGATAAATGAATAATAAACCTAAATCAATGGCTAAATATTAGGCCGCCTCATTGCTTAGATGGCTGGATTGACCTCTGACCCTGAAACGTCACGCGTCGTTTTCTGACGGTTTTTACGTTTATTTTAGGGTCCAATCCACGACATATGAAAAAACTGTTAATCTCGCAAATTCTTATCATTATTTTAACACAAGATGCTAATAAAATGGATAATATGCCTTAGAATGCCAGAAAAAATCGCTAGAATTGTAGTTGTAAATAATGAGAGGATTTCTAGTGGAGCACTCTCCGTATAAACTGAACCGCGGCCAAAAACGACCGTATAACGGGGAAAACGGCCCGTATAACAGTAGATTAATATATAATTGAGATATTTACCATGTATATTTACAGTATTATGGATGATTTTTACCAAAAATCCAATTACCCCGTAAGTAACCATGCGACAATTTCTCTCTGCTATTTTTAGTAACGTTGCATCATTGTTACGCTAGTTGCCAGACAGAAACAACTAAATCTAGTTTTTGCGGAATGAACTGTTAAGTCTAGTATTTTAATTATAATTCAATTGTAGCATGTGCGGAAAAAGTAAAATTATGGACATTATTATTGTATTAGTAATTTTATTAGTATATTGATTTTTTCTTCACTGTGGGCCGACAGTTGCTGCATTCGTGACCGGTGGTTAACCTCGTCAGCGCTGCGTGGCCTATTCGTTTATATAATTAGTGAAGCTCGTTCAGTGGCCTTTTTCAGAGCTAGGCCTAATTACGGGCGATTTTTAGACTTATTGATCGGCCGTTAGCCTTTTTCAATTTTCATTGCTGCGTATTTTAAAAAATGCTCGTTCAGCGGCCTTTTTTTTTTTTGGCGCTAAATAATCTGTTTATGGGCATTTTAAGCGTTTATTTATTTTATTTTTTAAGCTAGATGTAGATCTAGTTAAAAAATTATCTAGCATGCCTGATATGAGAACTTTAAAAAAAAAAAAATTACCGAACTTTTAAAAAAATGATCAGAAGTAGGAAAGTAGGTCTGTTTTTCAATTTGCTTGAAGAAGGGGGGGGGGGGAGAGAGGTGAAGACACCGACCATCTCGTGTACACGTGTTCATTCTATGACGTGTACTATAGGCCTGCTGAAGTCACGGTGACCCCGCGACCGTGGTGGGATTTTTCATCAATAGGATAGTAAACGCAAGCAAGCAATCACGCGAGTGACGATGTTTGGAGATTTTATTTAAAAAAAAAATCACATACGTCATGTTTTCAAGATGAAAAAAAAATGTAATGTTAAAAAAAAAAAAAAAGACACTAATACCATGTATGAACCTCAGCTGCCACACTGTTGACTCAATATAATGTGAATTGAGTGTAAAATAAAATGTATTTGTATTTATAAACTATAATATCATTTTAAGCATATTTATTATTTAAAATTAGAATTTGAAATAAAAATATTTATTATGGTCATTTGATTTATGCAGGTGTTCATTATTGCATAAAATGGTATGAATAACATGTAGATTAGAATTTAATAAATAATAAAATAACTAGATCTAGTTTTATTATCAAATCAACCAGTTACTTTTTGTTATTTTCCGGTGAGTAAATTACCTAAGCTGACGCAATTACCATGGCGGGAATTAAAAGCTCGTGTACACAGGTCGACGACGTCATGTTATGCCGGTCGAGGACCAAGAACGCTGTTTTGTCATTCATTTTCCATTTTTGATTAATTTTCAAATTCTCTCTTTTCTCGTCAACCGAGTAAGCTAGATATTTAAATGTGGTGTCAAATGTTCTCTTAAGGGGTAAGGAAGTTAATGGTGTATTTAAAATAACAGAATATTTTATTTAAAAAAATCCATAATTCAACCTACTAAATATATTAGTATTTCTCGCTAACCCAGAGGCGTGGCCGGTTGCTAACAACAATATGGCGTACGGACCGGATGCATGACTTCCGACAATTTTCCGTCTTAGTTCCAGAGACCTTCTTAGAATTACTTTTAAAAATGTTTATCACGAGTAAAATGGCGGGTTTTCACGCTATAAAAACATGCTATAGGTGGCAAGGCTAAATATGCCAGAAAAGCATTTTAAAATTTGCTTTGGAGAATGAAGGCTAAATTTAAAAGTCGGTCTCATTAAAATTAATAGAACTTCTAAAATATCTTCCCGGAGGTCACAAAAATGAATTGGAGGTTGTAGAACTATTAGGTTTATCATTATATGAAGAAATAAATCAAATATTGCATGCGCTTTTTAAAATAAGACACGACTTTTGAATGACAACCAAATTTATTTATTTTTTTAAACCACGTGACCGCTATTTGATGATCACTAGTGGGGAACTTCCGGTACATGGCCACTTAAAAAGTCTAACCTATTTGTGGTTTTCTTTAGCTTCAAGCGTAAGAAGAGTTGTCATGGAGAGGTGTGTTGTGCATTTTTGTGAGTGTCAATAAATATTAAATTAAGTAATTTCGTTTAAAACGAACTAAAACGTCAAAATTAGTGCCTAATGGATTAAATATGGATGTCTATCATTCAGTAGTCATGTTTAATTTGAAATTTGGGTAAATTCTAGATTTAGTAAGAAAAACTAAAATATATCAATATAGGGCCTATATTATAGGCCAGAAATTAACTTTAAACAGCAGTGTCTGAGAGCAAGATTTACTATAGAAAATCGGACAAATCGGCCTTTCCCTACCCCCTGCATGTTCAACTAAAATTTTAGCATGCTTTTATTATGTTTATATTAACATGTCATACACCATTCTGTTCGTAATTGAATAACCTTTTAAACTGTATAAGTTTGATTTCAATATAATTACAAACCTTGAAGAAATCGCCGATTGAATTGCATTTTTTACCCCCCGCGGCGGCATGCCGATTTGGGGGGGGGGGGGGAGGCTTTTTCAACTTTTTAAAACAGGGGTGTTACTTTGAGTCTATAGACTCTTCCAGTTTTCGCACTACAACAGTGAAACTTAGCAGATATACAGATTAGATGTAGACATATACAGCGCAGGGTTCGTCGTCAAAATATATTAAATACTTTTGGAGATATCGTACAGCAAAGTTGAACCAAGTTTCCCGGGTTATTTATAGACCAATTTTAATTTGAACCCTGCGCTGTATTGCTGAAATCTGGACGTTTATTAATATGTATGATATGTACTATAATGCCCTAAGATAGAGACGTCTATAGACTTTGAAGTGGACCGAAAATCAAAACATGACACGCCGACCACTGTCCGACTGAACCGCTCGGCTGTGCTTCGAATCGCCCTCTTTAAACAGATGACACGTTATAATATTTTTATACATGAATCGAGTTTACGTACTACAACAGTGAAACCTGGCAGAAATACAGATTAGATGTAGACGTATACAGCGCAGGGTTCGTCGTCAAAATATATTAAATACTTTCGGAGATATCGTACAGCTAAGTTGAACCAAGTTTCATGGGTTATTTATAGACCGATTTTTAATTTGAACCCTGCGCTGCATTGCTGGAATCTGGAAGTTTATTTATATGTATGACTTTTTCTACAATACCCTCAAATAAAGTCGCCCATACATTTTAAAATAAAACAAAAATTAAAATTAACGCGCCGACCGCTGTCCGACTGCTTGTTCTGCTGTGTCTATCTACACACCGTGTAGCACAGCCGAATGCCTGGTCACGTGACGCTAGCAGGTTGATTCAATTGGATGATATTGTAAACAATTTCTAAAGATAGATACATGTGTTCCCGTGTTAGACTCGACGGCTATTTCTATTTTATTTTGAAGTAGACAGGCATGTTTCATAACTTTGTCTTAACCCATTGAAACGGCAAAAAAAAAAAGTTTTATCAGTATTTACGGCTGAGGACTAAGCGTCAAAACTAATCTTCTTTAGAAATTAATCCGGATGGGTGCGGCCCGATCAAACAATGCTAATGTGATTCGCGAAATGTTTCATTATTGTCTACATTACTTTTTTTGTAAAAACGGCTTTAAAAAATAAAATAAATTATATCCATGGCTCTTTTTTTCGTTTGACTACAAATTTTAATACCATTAACAAAGTGGAGGTTACTAGTTTGCCAAATCGACCAAAATGGGGTGGGGTGGATGGGGGTAGCCACTGACCATCCTACACCGTATATGTAACACCCAACGTAACATCCATAGCCTCACCCCGCCCCCACTAGTCCGTATAACACCCGTACGGTACACTGTGGTTTCATACCCCACCTCCCTCCCCCTTCACTTTGTGGAGTTAATGTTACTAACCATCGGGCATAGATCAGGAAATCTTGCCAGACTTTTGTCTCTGAGATTACACAATATTCGCCGGACACGTTCATCAGGTTGGCCGACTAGCCTATCCAGCAATCATGTTTACGTAATAGGGCAATAAAATTCGTTGGTCAGAAGATTTGGCTAGTCAGATTAAACAAAATCTAGGCAAAAGCTTGTGGTGGTACACGTGTCTGTATATAGCCAAACACGTTGAACTTACACAATTTCTAAAATCTACTAGATCTACACAGTCAAGCACTCAAACACATGCTTTTTTCTTAAGAAAGTTTTTAATTGTAAAAGGCCTAATGGTAGGCCTACAAAAATACATAAGCCTACTTACTACTAGCATAAACATTGGGCTTAAATATAATTTATGTTATAGACCTATAACTTACACTATACCTTGTGCAAGTTTTTAAAAAAATATTTTCCTCCAAAAATTATTTTATTGAAA